CAAACCACGCCCACCCCCACAAATAAATATGTCTTTGGGAATATGATACCTTTGTACCGTTGTTCCGAAACCAATTATTTGTCAGGCTTCCATTTATAAATGTTTAAATCAACAGCATTTAAGCGCCCCCATGTTCAAATTGTTTGGTCATCTCTGCTCTTTCAACCAGGGGTGTTTCCAGAGTGGGGCACTGACTTATGCAGGGGTGGCATCAAGTATGTGTCTCAGCTTTCCAGTCATTGCCAATTCATGCAATTCCAACACAGTTCATGGACCCCAGTGTGCAGAAATATTCAAATACACTAGAAATAACACATTTACATCAAAGACTTTTGAGTCATAGAACCCATTTTCATTTAGAGATCTTGAGGTCAGAGGTCAAGCGATCCCTTTGAAAATGGACATGTCAGTTTTTCCATCACCATATCGAGACTAACTCTCTAGCTTTATTTAGCCCTCTTCCCGACATGCTAGCATGTCATGGTTGTAACCAATGGATGCATTAGGCCATGTATTTCCATGTGATTGTTTTCACTATAGCTCGTTTGTTAAAGTCATACTGGTACAGTATACATTATGTGTACCACAATAAACACACATAAACCAATGACTCAAACTCTTTGTTTATACCCACTCCCTTTATTTCTTTTTTTTGTCCGATAACAATAATTACATAATAATGGTACAACAGAATGTCATGTGTACAGCCAATCTTCATTTATAGTAACACTGTAATCTATTCTCCATTTAAATGTGGCATTCGCATCTTCTGAGCCTGACAAACTTCTGATAATTCGTCTTCATTACACACATCATAACTATTCTCAAAATCAGTCATCTGTAATTCAATAATTTGCATTCAATTTAATCCTAAAAAATTCTGCAGAAATAATGAGTGTATAATCACCTGAAAATAAGAATCATTGTGTTTTTGTTACCATGAAATAAAGTGTGTTATCTACAGTGGAGTCATAGCCTGTTCGGTGTTAGTTGCAAGAGTTAGAAACTTCACTGCTAGATGCCACTAAATCCTTTAAAAGACCACTAAAAATACATATTGACAATAACCCCACAAAGTGAATTAACCAACCTGAACATCTACAATACAGCTACAACAGCTAAAGAACTTCCAGCATCTTTTTAAACATTCTTCAGATCCAGTGAGATTTCGGGCTCCTTATAGAGGCTGAGGTTTAAGTCAGGAATCTGTTGACAACCGGACAAAACTGGGATTAGTTATGATTTATACGTTGTCTCTGAAAACATCAAAATCTGATTTAAGGTTCACATTCCTGCTACTGACACAGCAGGACAAACTTTAGCTCAAAGAAAAGATAAATCATCAGTATGATGAAATTAACTCTGACTTAAACAACACATTCATCAATAAAAAACAAATTGAATTAAGGAAAGTGTGAGTCCTCCTCCTCAGGAGCCCTCTTTAATAGTTTGGGAGTTTAAGTCTTAACATGTTGGAACATTCATGCAGGGCACTTATTCATTCTGCGAGAAGAGCAAAATTCATTCTACAGACACACTTAAGACCAGACCTTTACTCCCTATCACTTTATACAGAACCATGTAAATAATCCAAAGGACAGCTGTCTTTACCCAATTACTCCAGGCCATAGTGATGAGGGCTTGGTTTTCATCAGTATACTTGGACCTGGAAGATCTGCGCTTCCTGCTACCACCTCCGCTGCAGCTCTGTGAGACAGAGAGGATGGTTAGATTTTAGGCTTAGACTGTTTCAGCTTTTGGAAGGTCAGTGCAGAATATTCAGCATTTTGTATAGAAGTACAGTATCTCTTTGGGATTATGTAGTGATAGCATTGTTTTTTTTATTACAACCTGCATAATTCTTTATTTAAAGACATTATAACTATTCTTTTTTATGATCTTTTTAAACAAGTGAATAAATTATTGAATTTCCCTCGGGATAAATAAAGTATCTATCTATCTAAATTGATACTCAGCTGGTACTCAGCTCCAACTACAAAAACAATGCTGCTCAAATATGAATGCATCAGTAATCCTGTCATATACTGTATAAAACATCATGAATTGAACCATTCAGCATAATGAGTACTTTTAATTCGCTGAAGTCCTGCGTAAGAGGCAGTCTCTTTACTTGTACACTACTTTACACTGTTACTTTACTTCAGTCTTTCCTTCAGCCCTGCTTACCACAGTACAGTTGTTGCCCTGTGTGAGGCACAGCTCCAGTTTGCAGTGCAGGTAAACTTGGCCGTTACCCCCAGAGAACTGGAACATGTTGAAAGAGAAGACATTGGACAATCCGTTTCCATTTCCCTCCACCTTTACCGTCTTGTCAGCGGGGTTCGGGCATCTGCTCAGAAACAGGAAACAGACATGATGACATCATCAGCAGTAAGGACACTAACAAAGTCACAATTTAGATTTTTTTTCTCACTTGTTTTTAATAAGGTCGTATCGCACAGTCCCATTAGGTGACGAGCTGTTGCTTGCCCAGCAGGAGTCGGTCACCACAGCAACCATTTTGGCATCCAGCCCATCCGTCTTCAGCTCCACCCAGATCTTCTGGCTCAGTGCAACCTCAGTGTCTGACTTGACAAGGTGCATGCAGCCAGAGTCAGTGTAGGTGTTCATCATCACACAGCAAATTGAGCCGTTGCAGCAGACAAATAATGATTATACATTCTGGACAAGAATACTTTTACTATGTGTATTTTTGGGAGAATTTGTTCTAGTGCAGAGTTTTTCTGATCAAACTGCCATATTTATTTCAAGCCTGGAATAGCAGGCAGAAATCAATACAATTTTATTTCGTCTGAAAGGACCAGACCTATGAATATTATATTACATTTCTGACAATTAAACCTCCTAAATGTTACACACTGGACCTTTAATTTATCTAATCCCATCTTCATCGAAAAAACACAGTGAAATGATGATCTTACAGCAGTTGGTGTTTGACCTCCAGTCCTCCCATGTGATGTATTGTTTCAGGCTGCAGGACTTGGAGTAAGCTTAAAAAAACTGGCAACCGACACCGTCCACCGCTGGGTATTTGCACAAAGTGTTTATGCAAGCGGTTATGAAGGGCTCTGGGTCAGCATGGCTGTGGCAAGCAGTGAAAGGTGCCTGCTTCATGAGATTGCAGCTGTTCCAGTAATGCAGTGAGGGAGAATGAGAGTTAATTACCAGTTGTGTGTGTTTAGCTTCCACAATCATTCCTGGTCATATGACAGAGTTGTGGGTCCATAAGAATGTATAATAAAGATGGCTTGTTCCTGTTTTAAAGATGACAGGAGTGTTTAGTGTGTTTTGCTGGATCAGTTCTTACTGTTCAGTTGTGCTGTTGCAGTTGATTGTACTATTAGTGGTGTCGTTGTGGTGAATCTCAGCTATGGGGTGACAAACACAACAGTACATTCAATTTGAAACCCATGCAACATAAATAAACAGGCAGTTTGGTTGGAGTCGTACCCGGCTGCACTGTAATTAGAGGACTTGGCTGCACTCAGGGTGGTGTTCTCGCTGGAATTAGTGGGGTTGCCACACAAACCCTCCACAGCCTGTATATCCCCTGGTGGACAAATCAATGAACTTTCAAAAACAGCTGTCATTCTTAAACTCAAACAAGATCAGCTTTGAAGAAGGTAAGCCATCATTAATCATCTCT